TTTTTATTTTCATCAAATAGATGATTTGCGGTGCTCAAATTGTATAAGTCATTGTACGAAACACTCTTCTTTGCAGATCGAGCCGTGATCGCCGCAATATTGAATTCTCTTGATATTCTATTGTTCCGGAGTGTAATACGATATACCGCTGATAATTGTTAGCGGGCTCGAAATGTCCTTGATTTCTGGCGATGGTTCGATTTGAAAGAATAACGAAGAACGCTAATTTCATCTTTTAAATGAAAACGATTTATGGCGAGGGAAACTGGGGGAAACAGGCTTCCTTTCCCTCTAAAACATGAAATAACTTCTATGGGCATCGACGCGTCATTGCTTTGATTTCCCCCTTGTTTCATGCATACGGTGAAATGGTATATCATAGAGCAACTTGTGATCTTTTTGGCGTTTCCCTTTTTTCAAATTCTCGCAGATAGGTAACCTTTTATAAACTGGAAAGTGTGACGTGCAATGTCCATTTCGCGTCACGCTTCACTCGATTGGGTTTGCGTCAACCAAAGTGACATCAGAGAGTACAAACAAGCTTGGATCTTGGATGTCTCAAGAAAAACAATGCTAGCAGCATTTTAAACCTTTTAAAATCAATTAGCGTTTTCATCTAGCGTTTTCAGTGATCTGTTTAGCTGAACTGAAAATGAGCTGTTTTCTTGATCATGATAAATATGAGTGGTGGTTTTCAGTGTTCCATGCATATTAGTCGTTGGTGTAAACATCACGGAACATCCCTTTTTCCCTAAACTCGCTCTTTTCATATTATTGTCTCACAGCCGCCTCTCAAAGGTGATGAATGGGGAGCATAAATACTAACAAAATGATATCAGCATGTCCAGAATTTTTTTTTTTTTTAAAAAACCTTGATGGCCATCAAAAGTTAGTTTGAATTCGTATTTTCTAAGGCTCAATTGAGAAACGCCATCCTGGCTGTAAGTTCACGATATTTCACAGCAAGCTTTAAAACACGATTCATTGATGGTTCCACGGATAACACATCTCGTTTCACGAATTACCGATTAATGTACTTCACCTGACACTCATTGTAAAACTTTCGTCAAATCAAAGATTATGAAACATCATCCTAAATTCTCTTTGCTTACATCTGGTACTCTATTTCATCATTATAAATATTTGGTAATTTTTTTTTCATTCATATTTTACTTAAAAATGGGTTTATGGATATAATAAGAAGCGATAAATAAGCTTTCTTCATTGATCTTTCTCTGTTTTCCTTATGTTTCTTCTTATTCTACTTTGAGACTTTTCCATTTATTTTTTAATCGATTTGCAAACGAGGTTCACCAGGTTTTTAAGTAACAATGATGCCCGTGAAATGATTACTTTATATTTTTTGAGAAAAACTCTACTGTCTTTTGACAAAAATGAGTTGGCAAAGAAGCTACCTGGTTCTTGTCGTGAGATTATTTGTTTCGTGATCCGTGATTCGACACCAGTTTTGGCGAGAGAGATGAAATGTGATATTCAATCCGTGAAACGTGATACACCATCTATATAAGGGAAATGCAGGAGTTGGACCTTGCTGCGAATAAATTTTGACTGGCAGCTTGAAAGGCGTCCCTCCAATTTGGTTAGGAACGTTTCCGTGATCTGCAATGTGACACCACTCTTGCAGTAGGGAGTGAAAAACTACCTTGATTATCCAGAAAATTATGTTGTATCGTGTTTTAGAGCCTGCAGTGAAAAAACTTTAGATTTGCAGCCTGCATGGCGTCTTCTCAATTCTTAGATATCAGAAATTTGCTCAAAGGGGATATGACTCCCTTTAGTTTTTAGTAAAACTTGGTCTGAATATGCTGATATTGTTCATCTTTTTCTAAAAAATTATAGAATAGATTCACTTTTCTCAAATAGTGATATTCCGTGAGGCTCAGATCACATGCTAACAGGCCTGGAGCATTATTAAGATATCAATCAAAAGCCAAAACAACCCCTGCTTATCATGATCCAAGAAATGATATAAATACTGCTGTAGCCTGAAACGTTTTCATCATAGTTCTTGAGACGTTCAGGATTTGACTTGTGAGTGAATTGAATCAACGTCTTGATCATGGGAAAACTCATCGCGTTCCTTGTTTTGTTGTTTTTGGTAAGAACTTTAGATTAACCTACTACATGCTTTGAGGCCCATGATAGCTTTATCGAGCCCATCGAGGCAAATGGCAGAATACTGACGGAACTTACCTCGTTTTTCAGCTTGAAGCGAAGATAGTGGGAGTATCGGCAAATTTTCAGTAACTCCTCATACACGGGATACTTGGCCACTGCATAGGTTACCCTTCCTCCCACCCACCCCTTCCTTCCTTAACAACAGGTCAGTCAGCTTACCCCTACGGTTTTCCATCATGGTCATTTCTATTCTTGAGTTGGAGAGAGAAACTGCGTTTCCTCCCTCGAGTCCCCTCCTGTCTCGAAAACTAAGAAACTCAAAAGCCCAGCCTGGATTCGTCCCCAGACCTTTCAGTCTGGTTTTCCGACGCGTATTATGGTTAATTCTAAATCATTGTAGGTCCCACGCTTCCTAGAAGTGAGGGCGGAGTTGTTAAAAAATATGAAATGAGTATTTTAAAAATTAAACCCTCGTTGTTGTGTTTGTCCGAGTTTTCGTTTTCTATATTGTCAATGTTTCCACGGTGCTTATTGATTAATCCAAAAATATGTCTTTGCGTGACAAAAACTATAGGAAGCATGGCTAAACGTAAAAGATTATTACCCTAAGAAACTGATTGTTATGAAGAATGAAAGAAGTAAAGTTAAACCGGTTTTAAAACTGTTTTTCTTATCTCAATTTATTTTGCTGTTACATTTTTGCAGGTGTACCTACCACTGATAAGTAACATTGATTCCCATTAGAATAATTAAATTTATGATTAAAAATCAGAGGTTTTCGCCGTGTTCTGTCATTATTATTATTATAATTATGATCACTTTAATCATTACAATCATCATTTTTAGTGACATTTTCCTTGTAATGCATCGATAACATTCCCTCCGGCAACTCCCGTGCATTTGAACTTTTGAAAATTGGTTTGTTCAAATTTCCGACCCCCAGGGTAACAACTGTGTACAAATGCCCCACCCAATGTTTTTGTAAAAGGCCAAATCAGCAAGCGTGGCTTTCTACTCATTGACCAAGCTTTAAAACTTGCAGACCTTTTCTTCTGAGCCATTCGCTTGCAAAAGTGAACTATTTACCTTAACCCTTTAACTCCCAGATCAAATTTATAATTTTCCTTACTGTCGACCATACAATTCTTATAATGTTAGTTCAGAGAATTTAGTATTGGATCAACTCAATTATTCCCAAATTGATGTTTTTCTTTATTCTCATCACTCATCTGGTTGATATTGTATTGATATTGTAATGAGAAATTCTGTCTTTGTCACTCCTAGGAGTTAAAGGGTTAAACACCTCCATATTCAAAGATATGAAACCTGTATTCCGGTTCAAATACCCCACTCCAGCAGAGCAAGGTTTAAATTTCCCACCTCCGGGGCACGGACGACGGCCAAATGCCCATGGGTTGCCCGGGGGGGGAATGTTGAAGTTCCGAATTTATCAGCGCATTATGAACATCGTATTGTCGATGAAAATCAGTTTTATTTCGTACCTATTAAAAATCTTTGTATGTCTTATACATCCCAGTTCTTACCTTATGTTTGTTTGTCATTCTATTCACCCATGCAGTCGTTATGTTTGTCTAGATTTTTTTTCACCTCCAAAATGATCGGAAGGACTGCAATTCAATCTTGTTCTACTTACTCTCCGATAAGATGTGAACGAGTTCCTTGCGTGAACCACGCAACTAACTCGCGTGAATTACTGTCACACGCACCTTTTTTCCCCGACTAAAACATCTTCTATTCACTTAAAAAAACAGATCTCTGTGCATACAAGTACGATAACCCCGACTTTGCTGACTGCTGTCCTGTTTTGGCTGAGAACCAATACCTGTCTGTACCTTTCCGAATTTATGGAACTAAATTGTGCCTTCACATGTTGCCAAAAGGTATCTTGTCTTTGTTTTTTAGTTTTGACGCAAAAACAACAAGACCCCACCCCCCTGAATACTCCGAACCCCTCCCCAATCCCCCCCTCCCCACCCCTCAAAGCAATCAATAAATGTTAGTTTCCTTATTATAATATTGAATCAACAACCACAGGCAAAATAACCTGTCTCAAGGATTTTTGGCGCGGTTTAGCTTTGGCCCCCAAAGTGACTGGCGGGACCGTATGTAATCTCTATTTTGAAATTATTGTTGTTTTCTTAGTGGCAGGAATGAAGACCGGGAAGGACATTGGACCAAGGCTGATTAACTTTGCCAATAAATTAAAGGCCCATTAGAGTAGTGATTATTAAAGAGGCCTTACGAAACTTAGCTGTATTTAACGTAAGCTACTGCAATAAAGGTCCAAAATGTCAAGTTCAAACTCTTGAGTGTTTTTTTGTGAAAAATAAGGGCCCTGAAAATGTACCACTCTTTCTCTTGAAGATAAAACGAGGGGACAAGACAGACTGAGTCCTTGGGGAATATCCATCCCACAGTGAAGTGATTTAATTAATTCTCGAACTATAGTCATTTTTCTGTCTAGTCTACATCAAGACTTACATCGCCAGATCTGAAGTTCGGTTGAAAAGAATGACGAGCAACGTTGATTTTACCTTTTACATGAAAACGATTTATGGTGAGGGAAACTGAGGGAAACAGGCTTCCTTTCCCTTTAAAACATAAAATAACTTCCATGGGCATTGACGCATCATTGTTTTGATTTCCCCCACGTTTCATGCATACGGTAAAATGGTATATTAGAGAGCAACTTGAGATCTTTTTTAGTGTTCAAATTCACGAAGATAGGTAACCTATTACAAACTGGAGAGCGTGACGTAAATGTCCATTTCGCGTCACGCTTCACTCGATTGGGTTTACGTCAACCGAAGGGGTTATGTTTACCAAGCGATTTCAATATACAAAAGTGTTACTGCGGTAATTCAAACATCACTCACAGCTACTAAAGTTGGGTTTATTATCAAGCGTCATAAGACGAAAGGTATGTTGTGTCATAATTTCCGATAAAATTCTCACCATTTAGATTCCTTCTATTGAACACAATGAAGGTAATGGGATCGTCTGGAGCGGAAAATTAATGAGTTGGGTTGATTCCTATTTACTTATATATGACTACTTGCAAGAAAAAGTACAATAAGTTTCAGGAAAAACGTTTTAAGTAATTTATAGTAAGGTTAGTCTGAACGTAGAAGACTCTAGAAAATCAAAGCCGGTTCCAGTTTCTTGAGGCTGGTTAGATTTTACCCGATTTCAGTTAAGTAAATTTCTTTGCACGTAATTAATGGCAATTGGAGTGGTACGTTCTAGAACTTAAATGAGTTTGGGTTCATCCCCCATGAATTCAGTATATTTGGAGTAAGAGCTTTTCGATCCTACGAAGAACTGCGATTTTAAGCTGGTTTATCGTATGATCTAAGCGCTACACGATGTAGTATATTACCAGTACATCTGTCGGGTCATCTACCACATTAAAAAACTCGCATTGCTGAGATTAAAGCCCTACAATTTTAATTGGAGAACCAACATTTGTTCATCACGAATCGCTTTTCATTACAGTTTTCTATGTATGATATGAAATTAATTCTTTGCGTGGCCTCGGCAGAAATCACTGCGCATCGTTTGTTATTCTGGCGACAAAGGAATTCTTTTACTGTAAAGAAAATAAACACTGCAGTGGTCAGAAGCACGTTCCACAATGGCTTTAAGCGCAGTTTTGTTTTGGCTAATTGTATTAGATCTTATAAAACAATCAACCTATTTAATTATTATTTTGGTGAATCTGTAGTATAGGGTGAAATTAAGGGAACTTTTGTGCTTTAACCTAAGGCTTAACTTTGCTAGACTTACAAACTAATTCGTTGTACAGCTGATGACCATATTTTTTCTTTCCCTATTTGCCAGTCTTGAGAATATGGTGCTACATTCGAAGAATAATCCTCGATGACATTAACCTTACTTCTCAATTCTCATTACCTAAATATTTCACTGTTTAAAGGGCATAGGTATATAGAAGAAGACATTTTAATAAAGGATCGACAAGATACATAAGCACCGCTATTCAAAGTTATATTCATGCGCGAGCAATTTTGGGACGACAGTTAAATCTTCACGAATTATCGATATTTTGTCAAAACTTTGCCAAGCTTTTCGATGACTCTTCTCCACCAAAATTAGAATCTTGACAGTCTGAATCACATAACTCTCGCGTCTGTAGATCTCTACAGACGACATTTAAGACGTAGGTACATGCCTATGGTGCCGTTCATTGTTTGAGATATCTTGCCAAGGTGTTTACTCTTTTGTCGTTCAGTTTGTCTGTTTGTCAGATCCGCGCCGTGGACAACGGTGCAAAGGATAATCGAATTACTTTTTGAGAGGTTTTAATTTATATCTACCTTTCTCAAAAAAAAAACACAAAATAATGATGATAGCTGGCTTAAAAAGATGTCAAGCATGTCACGAGTGTGGAACAAAAGAAAATCTGAGCGCGCAGCGGGTATTAGCACCCCGCGAGTTTCGATCCAATTTCCTATGCTCCATCAACTGAGGAACTCAGGGAATCCCTTGGTGAGGCAGACCTTAAAAATTCATCAGTAACAATTGCAAGCTGTCTGGCATCTTCCTTGGATCAGCAAAGTCAAAATGTTTCTTTGCTGAACTCCTTATTCCCAAATTTTTTGTGGCGCTGGTTATTATTTTTAATAAGTAGTAGGCCTATATCTGAAGGACGCTGCTTTTATCTGCGCGCGGGAAGATTTGAGACGAGTTGGGGATCTGGCACTAACGAGTGCTGGCGAAGAAACGCTCATGCCGAAGCGCTAGTAGGAGAAGGCTATTCTAATAGTTTTTCTTGATTCACACATTTTTAGTTAGCACTTACACATTTTTACTGTCGTACCGTTGAAACTAAATGTGGTTGAATAGAAAAGAAAGAACGAGACTAAAACGTCCATAGAATTAAATCTTTAAGCTATACATTTTGGCTATTATGATGATCACGTTTATTCATCACTGTATCCACAGCGATCTAAAAACCTGTGAAACATACTTTGCACAGCTGGCAACTTAATTCTGAATTGAAAAAGTGTTCAAATATGAAATGTTACAGCCCTAAAAGTTACTATATTAATTGTATTTAGCCTGCACGGCTTTTTGCCCATCTCATTTTTTAATTTTGTAAAATTCGATTTCTTCAGGTCATTGCAAAATTTAAAATATATGCTTGTTATACAGAGAATGATCTCTTGCCAACAAAATTAACTTAGCTCATTTTAGGCGACAATTGAAAAGTTAAAGGTGAGCCCAATATTAGCTGTCAAAGGTTCTTTTGACAGAAGTGTACCCCGAATTGCTAATGCGAGTGTTCTGAAAGACAACTAATCCGGTGTCTTTACAAACTGGATTATCATATACAAATAGATTTTCTCTTTTTTCCGAATTTTAAATTACACCTGTCATCTACTCACAAAAGATGTGTCAATGCCCCTGCTTCACTAAATTTGTTGCTCAGAATTTAAGATTATCATGTTTAAATAATCCAGATCGTTAAGTTCGAGATCAAAAATTCCGGACTTGTGAACTAACTGCGAGTTAGTTAAATTTACTGTGTTTGCCGCACGATTCTTGACTCAGAAATTAACTCGATTTCCGATGCAGTGTTAAAATCTTTTGTATCATTTTTGTTTTCAGGTGTGGAACGGTAAAGATCACTGAATAATTCGCAACAATTTTTCAGTAGCTTATCATGACCGGCGCAAAAGAGACTTTTCAAATCTTTATTGCTCTCCCATCAGGTGACATATGCACAGTCAAAAGATTATCACGCGAAATGTTCGTGTATCAACTGAAATCAAGAGTCGAGCTAAAAGCTGGCATTCCAGCAAACATTTTTTCTTTGTTTTTTATGAATGTACAACTACGCGATCAGGATACTTTGAAAACATACCACCTTAAACGTGGCTGTATTGTCAGAGTCAAACTTGAACAGAACTACCATGGCCTGTTTGAAGCGTGTTGGCGTGGAGATATTTACGATGTTTTCGAGAATGGTGTTCAATTTCTGGACGAAGACAAATTTCAAGGCTACAACATATCTCTTTGGAACAAATTGGTTATCCAACGCGCGACGCTCGCTTTGTTTATCGCCTGCCACCGTGGTTACCTCGGTCTTATATTAGAACTTATCAACCGCGGAGCCACAGATATTAACGGTAAAACCATTTTTGGACGAAGCGCGTTACACGTTGCGGCTTACCAAGGCTTTGTAGGCTGCGTATCTCTACTGCTGAGCGAAGGCGCCATTTGTAATCAAACAGACGTCGAGGGCAAAACGCCCCTGGCCTTGGCGAGTGAGAATGGTCATATATATTGCGAAAGAAGACTTTGGCTCTATCAGTGGAACCTACAAACATTTCGCCCGCAGTCCACGAGAAGCTTGAATGGAGAATCAAATGAACTAGTCGAGAATACAGGAAGGTAAGTGTTACCTAAGAAAGTTGCTATAAGTTAAACGCTAGGCGGGAATAGATATCGTGTTAAAATTTTAACTTTCGATCGTCATTGATCACGAATGCTGTAAAACAACAACAAAGTGAATATCTATATGTAATTCATTGTTCTTCTAGTCTAGAAACCATTGTACCCTAATCCCTTTAATGAAAAAGGGTAAATAATGGCGAGGTAATGGAACCATAAAACTGCTTTTGTAACAAGCCAATATACTTTATTACAAAGGGATTAGATATTTCTAGATAATTTATACGTAAATGAAAACCCTCTCCTCTTTTATCTCCAAGATTAAGGAATTAGTAAAGCGTAAAAGTAAAATGAAATAGAACCTGTGTTTTTTCCAAATACTGAGCAATTAGCTCTAACTGATTGATGGTCAGCTTCATAAGGTCAAGTTTAATTTATAAACAAAACGGTTTGCATGATTTTGGTTGTGATCAAACGTCTCGGCGTTACAAGAATACGACGTCAGTAACATATATGAATGTGGTAATACCGATGAAATGACGTCAATATTAAGTAACATTTGACGTCAACATTTTAAGTACGATGGTTCTACATATATAATTACCCACACACAATTCAGCCTGACGGCATGGCTGGTAGCTAAAATGGGCGATAATACCGTGAGAAACTGTAAGCCTTTTTATTCGCAGGATACGTTCATTTCTTGTGTGAAAGATTTCAGTTACGGCTCACGGAATGTTTCGTGTCATGTTCTAGCTACCTTTCCCACAGAATAAATCCTATAAATAAAATCTTTTCTTGAGTAGATGCTGTCCTTTAAACATTATATGTTTGATTTAAGATGTTCCAAATCAAATTGATCCTTATTTTCTTCGAAATGATTGGAAATTACGAGTGGATCCGTAATCCCACTGGTCCGTAGGTCCGTGGGCCTGTAGGCTCGTAGGCCCGTGAGTTCGTAAGCCCGAAAGCCTGTAAGCCCGTAGGCCCGTAGGCCCGTAGGCCCGTAGGCCCGTAGGCCCGTAGGCCCGTAGGCCCGTAGGCCCGTAGGCCCGTAGGCCCGTAGGCCCGTGGGCCTGTAATCCCGTAGGCCCGTAGGCCCATAGGCCCGTGGGCCTGTAATCCCGTAGGCCCGTGAGCCCGTTTTCACGTAGGCCTGTAAGCTCATAGGCTCGTACCCCATTTGCCCGTCCTTTGCAAAGGAAACAATGGCCCCTTGCACGTCCCTTTAAGTTAGTCGTTTCCCTTAATTTTCTTTCTTTTGAGAATATTAATCCTATCTCATTCAGTTTGGATTTTGTTATTCGGCATATCCTTATCAATCTGCAAACTATTATCTGGGCGTTTTTCTTAACCAACAATTCGAGTATAAAATGAGGTTCGCTACTGACTGTATGATGGGAAAATCGAACCCGCTTCGAATTGTGTGATGGAAAAAATCGTAGGATCTATTAGAGTCATCAACTTGATGTCCTTTGTTTTAATAGAAATTGGAAGTCCTCACCACGCTCCACCAGGTCACCACCCAATGGAAAAACGCGTGATCAGCTTGATGAAAACAATAACAAGGAAGGACTAGATATGGTAGGAGCCAATTAGTTTCTTTTATTTCAATACGGAAATGGGAATATGAGAACAAATTTTTACACTTCAGAAATGGGCCTTTATAATAATGATAAATTTTTAATGGCAGACTTCAAAACTTTTCTTAGAGAATATAACCAAAGAAATAGTGAAATGAAAAAAGCTTAGGGGAAAAAGCAAGGATGTAATCTGTGGATAATATCTCAATTAATTAAAAGCCTCCTGACCAGTGTAGACACACAAATTTCCACTTGTCCGCTAAATTTGCAAGAACCAGCGTTCTTCTTGCCGCCTCTTAACACTTTCTTTTATCCACTAGTCACCCACTCTCACCCTTCCGAGCGTGACTGTTAACGAAGAAAAGACGAACATCCGTCGGACGCAGAGTCACGAGCCGCGCCGAACAAATCAGCCTTCTTTTCCCTTGATGCAAATCGCTGAGAAATACCGAAAAGAGCTTCGGGACTTAAACAAAGGAGGTGGTCTTTTGCCTGTGCATTTGCAAAAAGAATCCGAAGAAGACGTGAAAAAAGAAGCACCGGAACTAGAGACACCAGAGTTAGAGGACATCTCGAAAGATGAAGTGGACCTTGTGAGAGAAGCGAACAACAAGGATGACTTGGAAACAGCAGTAGACCGAGGCTTAAGGATTACGGAAACCAGTGCTGGTAGAGTTTTTTGTTTGTTTGTTTGTGTTGTTGTTTTTTATTTTTTCTCGCTAGAACATTTCTTGAATATGTTAAGCCACACTGTTTAAGTTTGGAGTCTTTAGTAGATCTTTTAATAATTGTTGGTGACGATGTAACGATGACACGATGATGATTCTGACATGACCAGAATTGTGAGAATTTCACCTACAGTTAAGGATATTTATCGCAGGTTCTTTCGTGTAGGTTTTCTGGAAAGCTGATCTACCAACTTATTAAAGTCTCAGTTTTCAACAAAAAGCCGCGGCCACAAAAATAACTTGAGCTGAGTTACCGACGCTTCACATCAACATTGAACGAATTGAACAAAACGGAAGGTTCGACTGAACTTAATCAACGGATCGATACTAAAAATCAAAACGAAATTTAATAATAAAGCCAAAGACAAAGGGACGACAGTGGCTAATCACATTAACACACGCTATTGACAAACAATTTTTCCCCTGGCTGTAGCGTGAGTCACTGGTCATACCTTTTGCGCGATGGAATTCTAACATAGTTTGTTTTCAACTCTGTTGATACAGCTTCATCTACGGAAGAGAAGCAAGATGATTTTACAGAAATTAACTGTGACGCTCCAGCGGAGGCTGAACCACGCGACTTCGAGAGGTAATCAAAAATACATGCAAAGCCAAGTGATTACTCTTGGTAATAGCGTTACTAGGCGATAGAAACAGGATTGCCTTACTAGTCTGTGTTATCCATACCAGGCGCGAGAGCACCCTCGTACAGCTTTATGGGACTTTTACCCAAGATACTTCTTGGCATTCTCGAGAAAAGTTTTTTTTCAAGACTTCGCACGGCCGAACATACAGTTATGGGTCTGGTTAAGAGATTCACTTGCAAGAAGTTATTTTTGAGGAGAGTGAAATAAGGACGTGAGGCTAAAGGGCGAGAGTGTGATGCTCAATGGATGGAAACTAAAAAACCTCTATTCCTAAACAGAAAACTCACAATTACAATGCACTCACTCTGGAAAGAAAAAGACAAAGTATTAAGACAAATACAAGAAAAGACACATACAAGACAATCAGCTCAGCGTGCAATAGAATAAATAGCGTAAACTGAACTGTTGCACTAGAAAATAAACCAAAGTATGCTAAGAATTATGATGTATACCTTATCATTTTATCCTTCATATCCATTGTTTTTTTTTATCTTCTCAGACCCTCTTCAGGAAGATCGAATGGAATCCGCAAACTTGACATTCTGATGACCGAGTCGCGTGAAAAAATGAAAAGCGAGTGGACCACCCGTGGACAGGATGTGGGTAGTTCTGCAGAATACCAAGAGACCGAACACGAAAATAGCATTCTTCAGGAATATTCAATAAGAAAATCTGCCCGAACTTTTGACGACTGGCTTCAAATGAAACGATCTCAGGAGAAAAAGAGGCCTGGCACTGCGCCTGCGCAGAAAAGTAGGCTTGGAAAGAGTATCGACCCTGAATCGTTTAAGAGGTGGTTGAACAGCAAACGTTCGCAGCGCTACCACACAAATTCCGAATCCTCAGCATCAAACAAAAAGACATTTATCAGTTCTAGTGGTCTGACGTTTGATCGCTGGCTTGAAACAAAGTTAGGAAGAAGACCCATGAGTGCTATAACCTGCGAAGCGGATTCACGTGATAAAAACGCGCCAGGAGCAGGAAACAAAGTGCGCAAACAAATCACTTCTGGAAAATCGTACGAACTCTGGTTGGCAGAGAAAAAAGCCACCACCAATAACAGTAAAGATGCGGAAAATAACAGCGATGGAATCAAGAATACTCCAAAAGGGAGTGGAAAATCCTTTGAGGTATGGCTTCAGGACAAACAAAAGCAAAAACAAATTGAGTTAGTCCAGAAAGTTACCACAGAAAAAGAACAGAAAAGACTGGAGGAGATAGATCAGTTGGCGAAATGGCTAAACCCACATTACAAGACTTACGAGGATTGGCTTGCAATCAAGAACCACCAAGCTGTCCTAGAGAGACAGCGGGCTGAACACGAACCACAAAGAGAACATGAGGATGTCTCTTCAGAGGAAAAACAGAAAGATGCCAAAATTGTTTACAACATCTGGCAAACGATGAAAGCTCTTAAAGAACTTAATGAAGAAGAAAGAAAATACAGCGAGATGAAAGCAAAGTGGGCTGCAAAGGAAAAGGAGAAAAAACATTTAAGTAGGGCTCAATATCTAAAACAAGGGAACAAGATGCAGCTTGAAACCGGCCTCGGCAAAAATTTAACTATGAACAGGTAGCACATACAGATGCTATTCTTTCTTATGTTCTTTTAAAGAGCTAGAGTTGAGCTTACTCTTCACTTCTGGGTGCAATTCACAAGTTAATGGTAAAAGATATTGAGCGGGTAAAAAAATATTTTAATAAAGAATAAATGAAATCATATTCGTTTTCGTTCTTGCTGGCCACGCAAGTAAAAGAAGTACTTTTAAGATTTGCTTTTATCAAAGCCACGCTACCTCCCGTAAAATTGGCTCGGTATAGGTACTTCAAAAAGAATGCCCCGTGTGAGGATCGAACTCACGACCTTCAGATATCTAATTAGATTATGAGACTGACGTGCTGCCTACTGCGCTAACGAGGCGGTTGAATAATTTGGATGGTATGTGGCTTCATAATTTGGCATTCACCACAGCTTTAACTGCATGATACTACCTTCGATGATTGACTAACGGTTATAGTGTCCCCATCATATCTTATTTACTTATCTATTTATTTATTATTTCAACTTATCACGAATGTACCTATGGTGAAATAGGCTCTCTTCTTCCTACACCCATTTACAATAGTTCGCATTAGGGACGTGAACATAGCTAACGAAGTAAACCTGAAAATCAGATTGATAGACGGATAAACTGCCAGATTGATAGGTTTTAAGCATTGGAATTTACTGCCTTTGAAAATAACTGTTCTTACTTTTCACTTTTCATGGGCGTGTTAGACAAACATGATAAATGAGTCTAACCTCAATTCAGAAATCTGAGAAAATTGACTAATTTCGCAGCTCACACCTCGCTGCACGGTTGGGCAACGAGAAGGGAGTAGAAAGATTCCATTCATGGGTCCTTTTTTTAAATCCATATTTAGACTGGGTAAAGTTGTTACAAGGAAAATTTCAGACAAGACCAGCCCGGTTAGCTCAGTCGGTAGAGCATCAGACTTTTAATCTGAGGGTCATGGGTTCAAGTCCCATATCGGGCGGAACGTCAACTTTTTTTTTCTTGCTCAATCCTCGCTGTTGGCTCAGGGCACGATAGCGGCTGGTTTCCGTAGAGCGAAGACGAACTAAGGTAGAACAGACGACGTTGAAGTACCGTCGTCCCGAGGAAAATTCAAAAACAAACTTAGAAGGCAAAACAGCACGGAAAAAGTCTCTCAAGTGATGCGTTTTGATTGGCTCTCTCTTTGGTTATCATCTTTTGTAGGACAGACGCATAGATGACCTCGCCATTAAAACTTTTCTGCTTCACTATTTTATACTCTGATCTAAACACGAGGAGGGGTTGGGAGAGTTCGAGAAAGTTAAGCAAACCCGAATAAAGAGATTGATTGAAACCGAAATCGGAAAGAAAGAAAAGTTTATGGTAAAAGATGTTGAAGTCAAAAATACTTTAATAAAGACTAAATTTAATAATATTAATTTTGGTCCTTGCTAGCCAGGCAAGTAAAGAGGTTGTATTTTTTTCTATCAAAGCCACGCTGCCTCCCGTAAAATTTTTTAGATTAGTACTTAAAAAAGAATGCCCCGTGTGAGGATCGAACTCACGACCTTCAGATATCTAATTAGATTATGAGACTGACGCGCTGCCTACTGCGCTAACGAGGCGGTTGAATGAAATGGTTAGCATGTGGCTTCATGATTTGGCATTTACCACAGATTAAACTGCATGATACTATCTATGATGATTGACTAACGGTTACAGTTTTCCAATGATATTATATCTTATTTACCTATCTATTTATTTATCATTTCAACTTATCACGAATGTACCTGATGTACCTTATCACGAATGTTCCCTTCGGGCGGAGCATCAACACTTTTTTTTTTCCTCCACAACTTGACTAAACGCATTAATTTAAATCAGGCTTGGCTGTGAGATCTTTGCTGGAGAGATTGAAGGAGCATGGTGTAAACATGCGGCTCGTTCATAATACCCAGACTTCTGCCGTTTCATGAGAGCACGCAATCAACAGGAAGGTATCATGAGATTGCACGTCATGGTGGGCTTCAGTCTGAATTGAGGGTTAAGCCGTAAAAAACCGTAAATCGGTGATGGCCACATGACAATATCAAAAAAGGCAGAAAATATTCCAAAGATTTTTGAAGTTCGCTATAGTTCCATTTGATAGAGTGAGCTATCTAAAGTAAAAGATAGTAAAAAATCTCTTTAACAAACTAAATTTACCAGTGTTATCGCCCGGTATGGGACTTGAACCCATGACCCTCAGATTAAAAGTCTGATGCTCTACCGACTGAGCTAACCAGGCGACTCGTTTTTTCGTTATGTATTGCTCTCATTGAACGCCTGATCGCAAGTTTTTTATTCAAGCTACTTCAAACTCTTTACATAACTATATGGGAGAACTCAATAACGGAGATCAAGTTGCTGTGGTCGGACCATTGTTTGAAAATAACACAAAACAAGCTTCAACTGCATCGTCCATTAAACTGTAGAGGAAAAAATATCCGACTCCCTAACACTAATCAGACTTCTGCCTTTAAGTGGAATGCTTAACTGTCTAGAACTCTCCCAACCCCTCCTCGTGTTTAGATGACAGTATGTAAACACGGAAAAAGTTCTCCATTGCTAAAAAATATTAATGAAGCAGAAAAGTTTTAATGGCGATGTCATCTATGCGTCTGTCCTACAAAAGATGATAACCAAAGAAAGAGCCAATCAAAACGCATCGATTGAGAGACTTCTTCCGTGCTGTTTTGCCTTGAAAGTTTGCTTTTGAATTTTCCTCGGGACGACGGTACTTCCGAACCTCAACGTCGTCTGTTCTACCTTAGGTCGTCTTCGCTCTACGCAACCCAGCCACTATCATACGTTGAGCCAACAACGGGGATTGAGCAAGAAAAAAAAAATGACGTTCCGCCCGATATGGGACTTGAACCCATGACCCTCAGATTAAAAGTCTGATGCTCTACCGACTGAGCTAACCGGGCTGGACTTCAAGTAAGTTTGCCTAGTAAGTATTTGTTTAGATTTTCCTCGGAACGACTATACCCAGAAATTAGTCAGTTTGGTCAGATTTCTGAATTGAGTATCGACTCACATACCATGTTTGTCTGACACGACTATGGAAATTAAAAAGTAAGAACAGTTATTTTCAAAGGCAGTAAAATTCAATGCTTAAAACCTATCAATGTGGCAGTAGTGATTTTCAGGCTTACTTCGTTAGCTATGTTCATGTCTCTAATCTGAACTATTGTAAATGTGGGTGTATGAAGAAGAAAGCCCTATTTCACCACAGGTAAATTCGTAATAAGTAGAGATAATAAATAATAAGACAAGTAAATAAGATATAGTATCATGGCGACACTATAACCACTAGTCAATCATCGTAGGTAGTATCATGCAGTTAAATCTGTGGTGAATGCCAAATCATGAAGCAATATGCATATGCCATTCATTTCATTCAACCGGCCTCGTTAGCGCAGTAGGCAGCGCGTCAGTCTCATAATCTAATCAGATATCTGAAAGTCGTGAGTTCGATTCTCACAAGGGGCAGTCGTTTTTAAGTATCCTATCTAAGCACTTTTTACGGGAGGCAGCGTGGCTTTGGTAGAAAAAACTCTTAGAACAACCTCTTTACTTGTCTGGCTAGCGGAACCAAAATGAATATTATTAAATTTTATTTTTTATTTAAGTATTTTTGACCCCAATATCTTTTACCAAAAACTTTTCTTTCTAAATCATATTGATATGTTTAACCAGTGACCCAACAAAATGGGGTTACTTCCGCCCGGAAGTGAAGAGTAAGCTCCATTATGGCTCTTCAAACTGCACAGGAACGAATAGCATCTGTGGGACAACGGTACTTTAACGTCATCTGTTCTACCTTAGGTCGTCTTCGCTCTACGGAACCCAGCCGCTATCATGCCTTGAGCCAACAAAGAGGATTGAGCGAGAAAAAAAGTATTAATGCTCCGCCCGATATGGGACTTGAACCCATGACCCTCAGATTAAAAGTCTGATGCTCTACCGACTGAGCTAACCGGGCTAGACTTAACATAATTTTGCCTCTTAAGTATGGTGTTAAATTTTGCTCGGAACAACTATACCCAGTCTAAATATGGATTTAAAAAAAAGACCCATGAATGGAATCTTTCTACTCCCTTCTCGATGCACAACCGTGCAGCGATGTGTGAGCTGCGAAATTAGTCAGTTTTGTCAGATTTCTTAACTGAGGTTCAATTTATATATCATATTTGTCTGACACGACTATGAAAAGTGAAAAGTAAGAACAGTTATTTTCAAAGGCAGTAAATTCCAATGCTAAAAACCTATCAATCTGGCAGTAGTGATTTTCAGGCTTACTTTGTAAGTTATGTTCCCAATGCGATCTGTTGTAAATGTGGGTGGATGGAGAAGAAAGCCTTATTTCACCACAGGTACATTCGTAATAAGGAGAAATAATAAATAAATAGACAGGTAAATAAGATATGATATCTTGGCGACACTATAACCGTTAGTCATTAATCGTAGGTAGTATCATGCAGTTAAATCTGTGGTGAATGCCAAATCATAAAGCCCCAAGTATATGCCATCCATTTCATTCAACCGGCCTCGTTAGCGCAGTAGGCAGCGCGTCAGTCTCATAATCTTATTAGATATCTGAAGGTCATGAGTTCGATCCTCACACGGGGCACTCATTTTTAAGTACCCTATCTAAGCACTTTTTACGGGAGGCAGCGTGGCATTGGTACAAAAAACTCTTAAAACAACCTCTTTACTTGTCTGGCTAGCGAAACCAAAATGAATATTATTAAATTTAGTCTTCATTAAAGTATTTTTGACCTCAATATCTTTTACCATAAACTTTTCTTTCTAAATCATATAAAAATGTTTAACCAGTGACCCAACAAAATGGGATTAACTCCGCCCGGAAGTGAAGAGTAAGCTCGACTATGGCTCTTGAAACTACATAGGAGCGAATAGCATCTGTGCTATCTGTTTATAGTCAAATTTTTGCCGAGGCCGGTTTCAAAAGCTGTCCACAGCATCTGTCAATCTCTTTAGTCGGGTTTGCTTAACTTTCTTGAACTCTCCCAACCCCTCCTCGCGTTAAGATAACAGTATGTAAACGCAGAAAAAAGGTTTTTACAGCTAAAATAA